GAGCGAAGAACAGTCGTGTCGGCGCAGCTGCATCAGTACCGGCAGCTCCAGCAGCTCCAGTACCCCCAGCAGCTCCAGTACCTCCAGCAGCTCCAGAACCTCCAGCAGCTCCAGAAGCTCCAGTCCCAGAGTCGTCACCTCCAGTCCCAGGGTCTCCAGCCCCTGTGTCTCCAGCAGTAGCACCCCCAGAACCAGCACCCCCAGTCCCAGGGTCTCCAGCCTCAGTGTCACCAGCAGCAGCACCCCCAGAGCCAGCACCTCCAGTCCCAGGGTCTCCAGCCTCAGTGTCTCCAGTACGAGTACCTCCAGAACCAGCGACTCCAGCACCTCCAGTAGACAAAGGTCCAGCACCACTCCTAGCTCCAGCAGCGCGACGCTGACGGTGACCGTACCAGTCCTGCAGCTGCTGTGGGGTGAGAGGCACACGTGGACGAAGGCGGCTACTCCAAGGAGACCGCGCAACAGCAGACTCAGAACCCTCAGCGCCAGCACCCCCAGCTGCTCCAGAACCTCCAGCGCCAGCACCCCCAGGCTCCTCACGCGTAGGCTCAGTACCCGCAGACTCGGCACCCGCAAGCTCAGCACCTCCAGGCTCCTCACGCGCAGGCACAGCACCCTCAGACTCGACACCCCCAAGCTCAGCACCGCCAGGCTCCTCACGCGCAGGCACGGCATCCCCAGACTCCGCACCCCCAGGCTCAGCACCTCTAGGCGCCTCTCGCTCAGGCTCCGCACCCCCAGGCTCAGCACCCCCAGAGACAGCACCCCGAGCAGGACCACCTCCAGCAGGACCTGAGTCACCAGTGACCTCAACAGGCGCAGGTACCGGAGGGTCTACCTGAGAAACACCTGAAGGAGCAGGACCTGGCGCGGGGAGGGGGTCTACCTGGGGAGGACCTGGAGCGAGAAAGAGCGGCGGGGGGGGGCGAGAGACAGTGCGGTAGGGAAAGAGACGGTAGAAGGGAACAGACTCGTCAAAGGTGACGTCCTGAGACGCAAAGACACGGCGCGAGGTGGGGTCGTAAAACTGCCAGCCAGGCGCGTCAGGAGGAAAACCAAGGAAGACGCAGGGAATGGCGCGAGCAGAGAGCTTGTCCGCGGTGAGATCGCGGACAAAGGCACGAGCACCCCAGACCCGGAAACGCGACGCATCGCCAACCTCCCCCGTCCACAGCAGTGTGGGCGAGGTCTCCGGCAAGGAGACACGGGGCCAGAGGTTGAGCTGATGCGCGGCGTACCGGACCGCGAACGGCCACAGAAAATGGGGAGCCGCCGCATGGATCATGGAGGTACGAGCGACCTCCATGACTAAGCCAATGCGGCGCTCAGCAACCCCATTCTGCTGCGGAGAGGCCGGAAGCGTGAACGACTGGGTGATGCCGTGCTCCGCACAGAAGGCTGCCAAGAGGTCAGAGGAGAACTCACCACCTCTGTCAGAGTGCAGACGCAGGACAGGAAAGTCCCGCTCGAACCGCTCGCGGAGCTGGAGACGCACAGCGCGGATCCAGGGGATCAAAACAGCAGGGACGTCTCCCTTGCTGCGCAAGGGGAAGACCGTGGTGTAACGCGTGAAGTCGTCGACAACCAGCAGAAAGTACCGCTCACGGCCCTGTCCCTGGACGCGGGCTGGGCCCCACACGTCCAGGTGAAGCGTCTGCAGGGGAGCCTCTGTGGGAGGAAACGAGGAGGAGTGAGGAGCGGCGCGCTGCCGCCCCTCGACGCAGGGAATGCAGGGCGGCGCAGGCGAGGGAGGGAGGGCAGGCAGAGACCTGGGAAGCCCAGAGACCAGAGAGCGAGAGTGCATGCTACGAAGGCGAGGCAGGGAGGGGTGACCAAGGCGGTGGTGCCACAGGAGCGTGTCGTGCGACAGGCGGCGGCACTCACACTGGGTAGCTACCTGAGCAGACGCGTACAGCTGCGGAGACAAAGGAGCGGAGCGTGAAACAGTGGTGAGGGTGTACAGACTGGACCCCGGCTCACGAGTGAACGTGGCCAGGTGGCGGCCAGTCTTGGAGCACGTGCAGATCGCCACACGCTGCCCTCCAGGAGTCCAGGTGTCAACCCAGTGATCCTGGAGGACGGCGTTGCTCACCAGGTTCGTAGAGAACGAGGGAACGTGGAGACCTGACAGCTCACCAGACGGGACCGCCGGGCACGGGAGCACAGTCGTGGCTCGTGCAAGCACTGGGCCCCCAGAGGGGTCAGCCAGGGAGACAGGGACAGGTGCAGGGAGGGGAGTGACGGTGGTGCTATTGCGAAAGAAACAGCGGGAAGCACCAGAGTCAAGTGTAAACGTGTGCAAGGCCTGAGCCGACTCAGTACCAAGGGGAGCAGACTCACTAGCACCTAGGGCTGCAGCCCTTATACCGGGGTCAATACCAGGGTCAGGCGGCACACACAAGTAGCAGTCACCCTCAGCACTAACAGTCAATGCATACATGGCAGCAAGAATAACATCATAGTCCAGATCAAAGATAGGCACATCACGCCTAAGCAGCTCTGCCCAGTTGGGGAACTCAGTAGCATCAGGATACTTAGTACGCCAGGCGTCACTAAGCCTAGCAAAACAACGATACTCAGTGTGAAAACCGTTGCAGGGGCGACCCTTGCGGGGGCCAGTACGAATGACATAGGGGCAGCGGTCAGAACCCCGAGACGCCCCACGCCCAGCATACCAGTCATTGAGCTGCTGGGAGGTGAGGGGAGGAAGCTGCTGCTGCTGCTGCTGCTGGCCACCCTTCTGGCCAGATCCACCCCCACTCCCACCTCCACCGCCACTGCCGCTGCCTCCTCCCCCACCACCGCCGCCGCCGCCTCCACCGCCCCCGGTCCTGCCGCCACCCCACCCACCGCCTCCACCCCCACGGCCACCCCCACCACCTCCACCACCCCCGCCGCCTCCACCACCGCTCCCTCCACCGCCACCTCCGCCACCCCTGCCACCCTTGCCGCCCCTGCCACCACCACGCTTCCCACCAGGAGCGGAAGCCGCTGCGACCTTCTCCGCACCGAGGAAGTCGACAGCAGTAGCAGCAGAGGCGTAGGAGGGGTCAAGAGGGGAGGGGGAGCACCCCTCAAAGAGGGGAGTGCGGGGAGTGCCACGAGCAGCACCGACAGCGAGGATGTTCTTCTCTGCTGCGACCAGCTGCTGCTCGAAGTCGTCCAGAGTGATAGTTGGAGGATCCTTGGCAAGGAAGTAATCCCTGACAGAGCGAAGAGTGTCAGGGAGGCGGGTGACGAGGATGTAGAGGGTGAAGTACAGCGGGGGGGTGTTCGTGGCGAGGAACTCGTTGGTAAGAGCGGCTCGAAAGCGGGCGTCACTAGCGCGGAGGTGAGTGATAAGGTCGGCAGCAGTGTGAAACGAGGCTAAGTCTGGGAACAGGTAAGGCAGGATGAGACTACCAACGGTGGCTGTGGTCGGGGCGGAATAGCGGGCAACGACAGCATCATACAGCGTCTTAGCAGTCTTAAGCTGGTTGAAATGCGCGCGCTCAGAGATCGGTAGGTGATTGCGAATAACAAGGCGCGCGACAGCATCGCGGAGCTCCCACTGTGCTCGTTCAGGGGCAGGAGCAGTCTCAGCAGGAGTAGGGACAGTGCCGGTCACATAGGCTAGCAGTGACACTCCGTCTGCGACGTCAGTCATAAGGTAAAGGCGCAGGTCACTAAGCCAGGTGTCAAACTCGATGGGGCGGCCGTCAGGCTCAAAGGCGAGAACAGTAAGGGTCGCCATGGTTGTAGCGCAGGCAAAAGTAGCAGGCTCAGGCAGCAGGCTCAGGCAGCAGGCTCAGGTAGCAGGCTCAGGCAGCAGGCTCAGGCAGCAGGCTCAGGCAGCAGGTTCAGGCAGCAGGCTCAGGCAGCAGGCAAAGACTGCAGGTTCAGGCAGCAGGCTCAGGCAGCAGGCAACTGTAGCAGGTAAGGAAGCACGCAGTTCTGTGACAGGCCGCGCGTAAGGCAGGCAAGCGCACGACTCACGGGCGGCTAAGCGCTCAGGTCGAGGCAGTGGCGCACAGGCAGGGCAGGGCACGCGCTGCTGCGGGCTGCGCGCGGCAGCGGGCTGCGCGCGGCGACGGACTGCACGCGGCTGCGGGCTGCGCGCGGCGACGGGCTGCGCGCGGCTGCGGGCTGCGCGTGGCTACTGGCTGCACGCGGCGGCGGGTCGCGCGTGGCGGCGGGCTGCGCGCGGCGCCGAGCTGCGCGTGACAGCAGCGAGCACGCGGGCGGCTAAGGCAGCGGGGCGCGCTAAAAAAAAATGCACGCGCGCATGCAGCCGAGGCGCGCGCGGGCAGCAGGCAAGGTAGGCACGTAGGTATAGCTGTAGGGAAAGTAACTCATGAGTAGGTGGGCCCCAATCTTAGGTCCTTAGGACCATTGCTCTAGATGCCATGTTAGAATAGCTAGGCAAGGTGGTGTTCACTATCGAGAGAAATTTTACAAGTAGGAAAACCCTAAGGGGTTATCCCCTATAACATCTACCCCACTACAGCCTACCTATATGTATCACACATATATATCATTTGACATGACGTGCTTACACGTGCTCCCTACGGGGAGCTAGGCTTAGCCTGTATCCTCATCTTGCTGCATGTCTGTATTAAGGTCACGACCTAATAAAAACCTTTAAACCTTTAAATCCTAAACCATATTGAACCGTTTGGAGATGAACCCGACCAGAGCAGACTCCTATTACTCGGCAAACGTCAGCAATGCTTGAGAGTTCCCCCCCCACCCCATGACTTTCCGAACAAAATTGGGAAAATCTCCACTTCTCGCAAAAAGGCTGCCGAGTCAGCATTGTCGGGCTTTGCGACGGCGAAGTGCGGTTTCTAGAGTAACATGGGAAACCTAAATTTTGTTGAGATGCCTACAATTGCTAAACATGGAGGGTAATAATGTGGCCACAGCAAAAACGTGATTCTACTCAGCAGAATGTGTTGCAGTGTATAAATTAGAATAAGGATAAGCTAACAGCAATATATCACATCACAGGGCAGCTGGACTCATACATGTTCAGATAAGGCAGAAGCGGAGAGGGAGGAGGGGCATTCGAAAACGCAATGCTCAGCTGCGTTCGGAATCGAAGCCGATCTCATCCAAGCCGGCATGGATCCATGCGCCTCCCTCAGCGAATCACACTCCTTTATAGTCACCTTCCGCACCCGCTTCATCTTGCCCAGAAAATCCACCGAGCAGATCGGAAGGTCCTGCAGCTCTAGCTCTTGCAGCTTGGCAAGCGATCCGGTAGAATCAGGGAGCGAGCGGAGGGGGAGAGAGAGGAGGCGGAGGGTGTGGAGAGAGGAGAGGTTGCCAAGATCCCAGGGGAGGGCGCGGAGTGTGGGGCAGTGTGCAATGTGGAGCATGCGGAGGGATGTGAGGGAGGAGAAGGACGGTGGGAGGGTGGAGAGTTTGGTGTGGGAGATGGTGAGGGAGAGGAGGGAAGGGAAGGTGAAGTTTGCAGGGAGGGCGGTGAGGGGGACGTGGGTTATGACGAGGATGCGGAGGCTAGTCAGCTCGCCGAAGGAGTCGGGCAGAGAGGAGAGCTGCGACAGGCTCACCAGCTTCAGCTTCTTGAGGTTTTCCAGCTGCCCGATAGATGCGGGCAGAGTGCGCAGGTTGGTCAGCCCAGTCAGCAGCAGAGACTGAAGTCGAGACAGGGAGCCGAGCGAAGCAGGGAGGCTTGAAACAGGGATCCACTGAAAGTCCACGTCCGAAAGATTCTTAAGCTGCCCGAGAGACTCGGGCACCTGGCGGAGAGACGTGCAGGACACACACTCCAGCTGCTTGAGTGCCGAAAGGGTACCCAAGGTCTCGGGCAGGTTGGAAAGGTTCGGCATGCTGAGCAGCACAAGCCAATGGAGCGAGGCAAGCTGCCCGAAGGAAGAAGGCAGCTGTGTGATCCCAGGCAGGCGAAGGGTCAGCGACTGCAGCGTTGAAAGATTGCCGAATGTGCCGGGAAGGATTTCTACCCGCTGAAGGTCAAGCAGCTCCAGGAACTCAAGAGATTTCAGCTGCCCGAAGTTCTCCGGCAGAGCGAGGACCGAGCTACAGCCAATAATGCGAAGCTTCTTCAGCTTTTCCAGCTGCCCGAACGAGTCGGGCAGACCCACCAGCGCCTTGCAGTTCCAGATCTCCAGCGCCTGAAGCGACGAAAGCTGCCCGAAAGATGCGGGCAGGTCCTGCAAAACCGGGCAGTTCACCAGCTGCATGGACCGAAGTTTTCCCAGCTGCCCGAAATCCTTGGGCAGGCACTTCAGCGAATGGCAGTCCTTGATTATGACAGCATCCAAGCAGTGCAGACTCGCCAAGCTATCCGGGAGAGCAGAGAGTGACAGGCACTTCTTAAGTTCAAGCGAACGGAGTTGAGTCAAGGAGCCGATGTTGGTGGGGAGGGAAGTGAGCTTAGAGCACACGTTGAGGCGGAGGAGAGTGAGGGAGGAGAGGGAGCAGACGGAGGAGGGGAGGGCGGTGAGGTAGCGCGAGTGAGTGACCTCAAGCGAGGTGAGCCGGGTCAAGGGCAGCAGGCTGAGATTGTCAAGTTCGGTCAGCGGGCAGGCGAGTGAAAGATCCTGAAGGTCGTGGAAGAGCGACCAGGAAAAGGGGATTTCGGCTGCCGCCCACCCCATGTGGAGCACTCGCAGGTCGTGAAACTTAATTGCGATTTCCGGGATCGGCTGGAGAGTTTCAAACCCGGTCAGGCGGAGCACCAGGAGGTTGGGCAGCTGAGAAAACCCTTTGGGCAGCTGGTTCAGCTTGTTGCATGCTGCGACCTCAAAAGTTTCCAGCGAAGCCAGCGAAGAGAGGGATTCGGGCAGCTTGGCAAGACTCGTGCACTGGTTGAGGATCAGAGTCCGAAGCTGCGACAGGCTGCCCAGCGACTCGGGCAGCTCCAAAATTGCCCGGCATTCGGTGATCTTCAGCTCCTCCAGGTCAGCAAGCTGCCCGATTTCTGCGGGCAGAGCCTTCAGCTTCAGACACGAGTCCAGGTGCAGCGTACGGAGGACGGGCAGGTGGCAAACGGAATCCGGAATTTCAGCCACCATCTCGCTCATAACCCTTAGGTACTGCAGCTGCGTGACCTGCCCGAGCTCCTCGGGCAGCGGAAAAACATCGTGCCGCGTGAACTTGTGCGCGAGAACGCGCCGTAGCGGCACAAGATGGAGGGCCGTCAGATGCGGACACGTGGCAAGCGTGGTGGCGATCCCAGGGGAGAGGCAGGGCGCAGGAACCTCGAGCGACGCCAGCTGGCGGAATCTGTGGAGGCCGCAGGCAAGGCCACCTGGCAGGCTGTGAATGGCTGATTCGGAGAGCGAGAGCGTGCGGATGCCGTCATTGGCCGCGTAGCGCCAGCGGTGACACGCGCACGCCGCTGCGAGCCAATCCCGAGGCGAGGTGAGGTGGGTGAAAACGAGCGCGAGACAGTCGTCTGGAAGATCGGCGATGGTGGTTGTTGAGAAGGAGGAGGGGGAAGAGGGTGAGGGGGAGGAGGGGGAGAGCGGGTCAGCGGAAAGCTTGGAGGAATGTGATGCGGGGGAGGCAGCGGGGGCGTTGAAGCGGGATGCGCGGAAAGCGGGGGCGGAGGCGGAGAGGGAGGAGGTGGGGCTGGGTTCGGAGTCAGAGGGGGATGGGAGGACAGATCCGTCGGGAGGAAGGCGGTTGTAGCGAAACGGCGATGGGTGCTGGGCAGCTTAAGGAAGGGGAACCAGGTGACATTGAGAGAGGGGAAAGAGAGAAAAAAAGAGGGAGGGGAAAATAGATGAAGATGGGAACAAAAACTTATTATTGCCTACTGTATAACATTTCCAAAGGTCATACGAAAGTATGTATGTCGTTCAAAATAACAAATCGCTCTGGCGACTCGAAAATGTTGCACAGAATTGCACGAGGCATCGGAAATAGCGAAGGATAGGAACAAGTGAAGCGTTGCGAGCACGGAACGGCTTTCCAGAAATTAGGGTTGCGTACTTATCAGGAAGCGAGGATCCTACTGGTCGAGGGAGGGAATACCTCTTTAGCGCAATTAAGAAACGCGAGTTCTAACGGGGAGTGAGTGTGGCAGGAAATGATGTACCTGGGGAGTGCAGATTGAGGAGGTTAGACGCCGCGACAGACGGCGACGCCACCCAACCCCAGCCGCTGGATTGTCCCTCTTCAGATTGATCGAGCGGCCTCGGGGACGACACGTTCAGCTGCGGCACGGACTCCATGCTTGAATACGCTTCTGAAGGCGCTTGAGAAGTTCCAGCGCATGAAACACCGGAAATATCCCGCGAATGCCGGAAACCACTTGATATGCAGCAGGAAACTGGAACACAGGAATGCCGGAATGTCAGGAGCGTGTAACCACGAGGAATGACGATAATGCCGGAATGTCGGGAGCGTGTAACCACAAGCAAGGACGATGTTAGGAGCGTGTAACCACGAGCAGTGACGATAATGCCGGACGCCACATGCAATGTCACGGGCCTCGATCCACGCGAAAGGCTTCGGAGAGGATTCTTTCGGAGCTCCTGATGTGCTTAATTAATTATTTGAGTTTTCAGGCGCCTCAGAAATGCCACGAAGGATGTATTTCAGTGAAGCTCCTGAGAAGGCAAAGAAACGGGGTAAAGGTCAAAAAGAAAGAAAGAAAGTGCCTGCAGAATAGAGGACTGCTTCTGGAAATAGCTTGTCCGCATTAAATGCATTTGGCTTTGATCTGAACCTGTGTTGTTGCTCACCGTACTTCCATTCCCCCCGTAGAAGTTTAATAATGTGCAGACATACCTGCGTTGGTTTAAAGATCTTGAAATCGCTGGTCGGTCAACGTATCAAAGCGGATATTGACGAGCAAGGAAAGCGAAGCTGGTGCAGAGAACACGGGAGGTAGGCATTGTGCAACATAAGAGCCTGAATAGCAGTCTTGATGCCCAATGGAAAGTCTTGGTGGTCGGAGACAGAGAAGGAGAGCACAAGCAGATTTTGGAATGTGAGGAAACGGTTCAGCAAGGCCACTGACGGGATTTGTGGGAGTTCTGGCGAGCTGCTCAGAAGGGAAATGTTCTCTCCTGAAGGCAGGGAAAGGGAGGGAGTGCCGCAAGCGATGCAAGGGACGGAAACGGTTTTGCTAGTTGTGAATATTGATGGTTTAGGGCAGCTTTTGCTGCCGCTTGCACCAATTGGAACCTGTCAACTACGCTTGTTGCTGGTGGTGGTATCTGGGAGGGGAGTTTCTTCCCCTTGGGTTTGCCGCGAGGCACACTGCTGAAGGCTTGTGTGTGCTAAAGTGCTGAGTAGAAGGATGTGTGAAATCAGGTGTGAAAGCGCTAGTCAAAGTTCAGGGCAGATCGGGAAACGCAAAACTGGTTGTGTACCAAAAGCCCAGATGTGGCGCGAAAGCCGTACAGCTGCGGCCGTGTTTCACGCAACCAGATTTGGTGTGCGGGGCGTCAGATGTATGCTTGAAAATATCCGACGTATGGAATGCCTCCCCCCGTTTGCCACATGTGGGGCATGGCAGTTTCTTCACCTGATGTGACGACGACAAAAATTACGATACCGACAGCACGTCATAACGAGTACAGTACAGGTGTACGTTTTCCTTGTCATACTGGAAGTGATGCAGAAACATACAGTAACAAAATGCTAGCTTCACCATTTGATACATCCAGAGCAATTTATCCAGCTCGGCCCTTCAGGAGCTACAGAATGGTAGCAATGGACCCTTGTGCGACAAGTCTGTGCACGAATCTCTTGTTCACAAACCCCATCTTCACCAGTACCATTGAGGTTTTGCTGCCATGTCATCTGTCAAAAGAAAAGAAAAGAAGTAAAACACACAGAAGGAACATTAGGGTTGATGTGTGTGATTGAGGAAGACAGAATAGGGAAGGGAGGGAGGGGGAGAAAATACCGTAAGCTAGAGGGCCAACCTCCTGTCACTAGCAAACTACTCTCACTAGGCTTCTCCTCCCCCCACCCTCCAGACACCACTTTCAACCTCCAATCCAAGGACTAATACGGTTTACCGTATTCAGCTCTATTCTCTATACTCGAAACACCCCCACCCACTCACCAACAATCAATGCCCCGGGCCATCAAAGCCACGTGCACCATTCTCACACACAGTGACCACCACACATTCCCCACCATGCCCACCATTCCCCACCATGCCCACCATTCCCCACCGTGCTCCACCATTCCCCACCATGCCCACCATTCCCCACCAAGCCCACCATTCCCCACCATGCCCACCATTCCCCACCATGCCCACCATTCCCCCCGTGCCCACCATTCCTCCCACCCACTCACCAACGGGTTCAGTGTCGCGCGCCATGAGAGCCACCTGCGCCGTCCGCACGCTCTGCGGGCGCCACGCCCACAGCACCAGCCGCCACGCGTCCGGCACAGCCCCCACGTGCCACGCCACCGCGCACGGGTCCCCCGTCCCCGCCACACACCGCACAATGCGCACCCTCCGCACCACCGGCCTTAAACACCTCGACAGCCACGCCATGTGCTTTGCGTCGATCCACCCGCCGCCTCTGCGGGCCGAGAGGGACCGGCGGAGGGTGCGGCGGAATCGGTCGAACATGAAGAGAGGCGTTCTGTCCATCTCCACGTGCCGAACGTACATCCAGGCTCGGAAGTACCGCGCCGAGCGCAGGCACGGGCGCGCCGGGCCGACGTGCGAGCCTGGGGGCCCGAGGAGAGTGCCTCTACTGCGTGCAGTGGGTCCGTTAGGAAAAAAACACTTCTCCTCGATGACTACAGACATGCCGTTGAACATGCATGAACGGGCAATGCCCTTAGCGCTGCTCTCCCCTCCCACCCTGTCCCCTTCTGCCACCCCCTCCACACCCATCCCATCAGCCCCATCCCCAGCACCCACACCATCACCACCACCGTCCGCAACATCCCCACTGCCACCACTGCTGCTGGTGTTGCTGTTGCTCTTCCTGCCGGCGGGAATGATCGGCACCTCCATCTCAGCCTCGACCAGCACAAACGGCACGTACATGCGCGTCAGCACCGGCAGGTCTGGCGCCCTCCTTCCAGGATGCTTCTCGTTCTTCTTCACCAGGCTGCGCCGCACCGTGAACAGCTGCCCGTCTCTGAGAGAGGATGAGCGCCATAGGTCCTCCACTCGGTTCACGCGGAGAGGGGGGAATTCTTCCACGCGCCCCATCCACAGCTGCGGGTCGCCGGTGACTGCTGGGGGTGGGTCGCTGCTGCTGGCTAGCAGGCGACGCCTGCTGCTTGCCTGCAACTGGCTGCTCGTGTTACCGGCTGGTAACCGGACGCTCGTGTTACCTGCTGGTAACCGGACGCTTGCGTTACCTGCTGGTAACCGGACGCTTGTGTTACCTGCTGGTAACCGGACCATAACGGTGTCTGTTTCTCTTTCCCTGGCCCTGTCCCTGTCTCTGTATGTATCTCTTGCCCTTGCCCCTGCTCTCTCACTCGCCAGCAGCCGTCGCCTGCCACCTCCTCTCTCCTGCAGCACCTTCCTTCCGCCACCACCCTTCCCACTTCCGCCCTTCTTCTTCCTTTCGTCCTTCCCCTTCCCCTTCCCTTTTCCTTTCCCCTTCCCTGCCTCCTTCCTCCTCGCATTCTCCCGCTCCCACTCCTCCACATCCGCGCGACCCCCTCCCCCGCCCAACCCTCCCCTTCCCCTCACCAATCTCCCATACTCCTCCAAAAACTCATGCAGAGAACCGAGTCTTTCTACAAAGGGTACAAACCCGCTAGCAGCAGCCATCCAGGGGATGGACGAATCACAGACGGTCTTATCGCGGACAAGGCAGGGCACTGACGGGGCGGGCGGGAGGGAGCCCCAGAAGGGCAAATGACGCATTTGAAAGCGATTGAAACCGGTTAGAGAGAAGAACGCAAGGATGAGGCGGGCCTGTTCGCTCTGGGAGGTTGGGAGGAAGAAGCGGCGGGTGTCTTTAGGGGAGGGGAAAGGGGTGGGGGTGGGAGTGTCAGGAGATTCTGCAGTGCCGTAACTGTTAGTTTTGCTGTTACTGTTACTGTTACCGCTGCTGCTGCTGTCGCCACTGCTGCTGTTACTGTTTTCACTGGTTTTACCAAGGTCAGCACCAGCGCCAGCAATGCCTGTCCCTCCTGCACTCTCCCCCTCCGCTTGCACGCCCAAATCCCCCCCTCCACCCCCCTCCGCCTGCGCCTGCGCGCGCATGTCCGTCCCCGCGTCCCCCTCCGCGACCCACATCAGCCCCCTCAATGCCGCATCCACAAACCCGCGGCACCGCTGCCCCACAATCACCCCCCACTTGTGCCGCAGAAACACCTGGTTCGCCGTGCACACATCATCCCCACTCTGACTCACAAAATACACTAGGTCGCTGGTCTGTATACTAGTCGATGGCTGGTGGTATACCACCACGGATTGCGGCACCAGAAACGCCTTGTAGTTAAAATACCTCGTCGTCAGCGCTATATCCAAATCCTGCCGCGTATACCCGACCTGGGGGTCAAAAACTTGTGCCTCCAACAGAAACGAGTGCCGGACGAGCAAGCAGTGATCCTCTATCCCTACAGCTGACTCCCTCGGGTCGAGCAGGGTCGGGTCTAGCGCGGCGGCGACCTGAGGGTCCTCTATGGGCTGAGGGTACAGCTTCCCGTCGTTGCTAAAGTCGTCCAGGATCATATCCGCGCCGAACGCCGCATGCAGCCGCATGCTCTCCCCCTCCGCCTTGCACCTGCTGCCTGTGTGGGTCTTCCTCGCGTGCCCTAGCTCCCTGCCACCGCTTTCACCGCTGCTGCCGCCACTGCCACTCTCGTCCCCGTCGCTCCCCACTCCGCTTCCCCCACCGCTTCCCCCTCCGCTTCCCCCCCCGCCTTCCACCATTCCATCCATGGACATCATTCCCTTGAAGCTCGGTGCCGAGCCTCCGCGGGACTGCTCCCACAGGAACGGCAAGAAAATCACCCCCTCACCCCCCCTAGCCTCGGCGAACATATACAGCTTCTGCAGCCATCTGTGACCTAGGGGGAACACGTCTGAGAATATGAACAGTGCGTATTTAGTCTTAATTAGCTCCACTGACGCGTTTCGCATCGCGAATCCGCTCGCGTGGCGCCCTACGTCTTTAATTACCATGCGCCGCTCCTGCTGCTGCTGGTAATGCATAGATCCGTCCGCGGCGGGGGTTCCGCGCAGCACCGCGTTCCCGCGCCACATCCCCGCGTCCGCCTCGCGCTTCCGCCGCAGCACGTGCGTGCGCACGCGTGCGGGCATGTCCGCGGAGAGCAGGTACACGACGGGGGAGGGGGGGGTGTTGCGGAGAACCGCGTCAAGCTGCGCGGGCGCGGAGCTGAATGTGTGCTTAGCGGAGATGACTAAAGTGATGTCTTGCGCCACCTGCTCGTCTAGCGAAGCCTCGTACATATCGAATACCTCCTCCTCCTCCTCCCCTACACCGCTTCCGCCCCCCCTTCTCCCGCCACCGTTGCCGCTGCCGCTACCGCTGACGTCAGCGCCGCCGGACCCCGAATCTTCCAGCGACCTTCCGTGTCCTCTCGCCCCATGCCCGCCAAGTGCCGTGTGCTTATGGTGGGATACGGATAAAACCCCTTTATGGTCACGCTCCAGAAGAAGCAACCGTCGCCGCTCCTCTAAACTCGGGCCAACCTCTAGTAGCCTCGTCCGGGACCCCTTATCAGACTCCTTAGTCCGCTTATCCGACCGCTTATCAGACCCTACGGACCACCGATCAGTGACCCGAGCCTGAGTTGCCTCCCCATTCCCGTCCTCGTCAGTCCCGTTACTGTCACCATCCCCGTTATCTGCACCCTCGTTACTCCCTTCCGCGATCACGGAGCTTAGAATATCCGATACGCTCTGATTCCCGAAATCCGCCAACCCTCTGTGCTGCCATGACTCCTCCGAACCTTCTGCCAGCCCCCATCTCTCCAACCCGCCTGCGCCTCCGTTTCCGTTTCTTCCTCCGTTACCGTTTCCGTTTCCGTTTTCCCGTCTGAAGCTCTTCTCCTCTCCCAACGGATCGTCATCAAGATCTATCCGCGACTCGAGCTCGGAGTAAAGGAATACGAAGGCGATTATTATCGCCAGCAGCAGCAACAGGCGGCCCGTAGACAGGAGCAGGTCTGGACCCGCGTGCGCGGAGGAATGCGCGCGCCGGCGGCGCGCGGAAAGAGGCTGCGCGGAAAGGGGGCTGAAATCGGCTTCCGCGGGATGCGCGTGCAGGGAGGAAGTCTGGTAAGGCGGTGAATGGTGATTAATTTGAGGGGAGTGCTGTGGATGGGGAGGAGGGGTTTGGTGGGAAAGGGAATGGGAGATTTGGTGGAGGCCGGGCGAATGATCTGACGTCACGCGGTGAACCGCCTCCTTGTGCTTGACGGTCACCATGGGTCGCTGCTGCGCTTACCATGGACATCTGCTCTTACCATTGGCTGCTACCGTTAGCCGCTGCTCTCGCGCTCATGAGCTACTCGTGTCGCGATCGTGTGCTGCTCGTATCTCGCTCTTTTGCAACCCGTTTCGCCCGCGGACTAAAAGCTACTCGTCTCGTGATCATGGCACGGTGGGATGTCAACGCGAGAGGGTTTCAAATATCCTCGATCTCAAATGTCCTCTGTCTCAGTTGCACTCGGTCTCAGATGCTCTCGGTCTCAGATGCTCTCGGTCTCAGATGCACTCGAGCGCAGTGGTATCATGGCCTTGTGGTCTCCGGATCTCTGCGACTGTTGTAACCATTGCGATCATTGTGATCATCGTAATCGGGAGCCTGACCGGCTTTCCGATCGCTTGGTACCGTCTCGTTTCGAGTCCCTGATTATTGAATGCAGGAGTTCGCCGCTGAAATGAAACTGCAACGAAGAATTGAAGATTGGACGCAATAAGGGACTCGATCAGGATCTGGGTCTGTGACACAACAATCTTGCGAGCCGATTAATCGACATGTCGCTTGTTCGCAACGTCTTTAATGATAATAGCTCGCGGTCTGTAACTCCCTGTCTGGGATATGCTCTACGAATCGTAGTACCTTGCTCAGATAAGTGGCCGTACCCTAATTCTAGGATCCCAAGTCTTGTGCTTCACAGGACCGACATGAAATGAGACCATCAACCCAGATGATAGACGTAAGGGCGCGTGTCTTTTGGGAAGTAGGGCTTAGTTCAGGTTTTTTTCTCGAATTTTCACATTTGAACTTCAGTCGACCACAGGTCGACCATCTCGACTTTTGATGGTCGAGGAGCACCGTCAACAACTCCGAATCGCGCGTGGAACAACAAAGTTCGACTGTCATGTTCAGCTTTCAACAGTGAATCTCGAGTCGCGTAAAACTTTCGTAGGTTACCTGGTTGCGCGGGGCGTATCGTCACCGAATCCCGATTCGGTAACCAGATACGATATACTTTGTTACTGACTAAAAATTCGCAAACTTTCGTGCGTGCACAGAAGAACACACGTCTGGATAAATGTAAACCTAAAAACCTGAACGCAGGTCGACTTTGATTCAGTGTCCAACTTCTTTCACACAGTTTGAACTAGGACACACGATTGCCTTGCGATCTTATTGGCGAAATTGACGAAGCAGGTTACCAACATAAAGTCGACCTTTCGTTCGAACGTCTACACCAAAAGACACGCGCCCTAAAGAATGCCGATGTCCGATACTCGATATAAGGATTTACAAATCCTTACTGAGGCGCTCGATAGCGAGGCCATCCCGAGGGCCACGCGACCAACTGGTTCGGCCTACAATTTCGCATCCCAACCTCACCGAGCCGCCTTTGCACCAATCGCGACACTTCGCGAGCCAACTCTACCACACCATCCCCGCCTAGCTAGGTTTTCCCCTATTTAGGCCTCGCTACTTCATTGTTCAGGAATTTGGTAGTTCAACATTCTCGTTATTCGATATCTGCGCACTCTGACAAGTTCATTCATAACACCTGGTATCAGAGCTACTTTCCTAGCCTACCCCGTTTTTTAGAGTGTATTACCCCTCGGGGGGGGGACGAGTAAGGATGCCTTGGGGTCCAGGAGTTGCGTAGGCCGGCCAAGAGAACTCGTTAGTTGCTCTTCGCGGCCATGGTTTTACGGGGCACTCCTTCGGCACCGCCAGATCCTTAGCTCGAACGGTCGCGATCGACCGTGGCCTCCCTCCCCCCGGGCAACGGACAGCTGGAGCTGTCGCGACTCTGAACGTGAGTTACTATTTCCGCTGCGGTTTTAACGACGATTTCGAAACTGTGAGGCAGCTGGCGTCAGCGGATCTGCGTCGGCACCTGCACGAAGATTTCGGAAGTCGTCACGATGTGTGGCAGTTGACGCCGTCGGACCCGAGTCAACAACTGCTGCGACAACTTCGGAGTCCGTCCCATGCGGCAAGTGACAACGGTGGCTCGTCGTCATCATGCGCGCGCGACTCACGGAGTGTGGCTCGGCAGCTGGCGACAAGGAACGTGCGTCACTGTGGCGAAAATTTCGGAGCTTCTGTTGAAGAAAACGTCGGCTGGGGAACTCGCCAGGCGCAAAAGGAGTTTGCGTCCGAAAATGTCGGTGGCGAGGAGAGACGACACAAGACTGCCCGACTTCGCGGGAGTTAACTGCCGTCCCGCCCGACCTGTTAAGTGCGGCAGCTTTTACTGCATTGGCGGGCGCGTCATCAACAAATTCGGCAGGAGTGCTCGTGGACAGACGGGACTTCATACCTGCTGACGCTTACGGGCTGCAACGGAAAACGCGATGGCTAAACCGCACTTACGAGGAGTGGGACGCAGGCGACGAGGGAAATCGGGGCAGGTACACCTCGAAAGAACTCGTGCGACGCTGCGTGCCTGGTGTTGTTGCAAGCTGGCCGGCAGTATCGAGAACAGTTTCCCCTGACCAAGGATGTTGTTTTCGGGGACAGCTGCTGACAACCCACGGTTAAACGGTGTCCAAGGTACCGCCCGATAATTTCGGAGGGGTCGGTACAGGCTGCCGGGACACGCGAGAAGAAACGGCCCAACGGCTAAGCGGGGGTTGAAGAACGTTGCGGGGGCAGATTAAAAGCCGGTGGAATCGCTCTGCGGCCCTACTTCGCCCGAACCTCACCATCCCCACCAAGTCCTGGTTCTGACTCATGCAGTCTGTCAGAATGAACAGGCAGGAATGAGGAACTAGAAAGGATGGTGAGTACAAATATGAAACCCTAATGTTGTGACCCCCCTATAGGCTAACCCACTACAGCCTACACAAACACAACATATATAATGTTTGACACACCCCCATAGGCAAAGTGGGGGAGACCTAGGGGTCACAAGACCAGTCAAGGCAAAGCAAGGCAACAACAAGCTCAGGGTGGATCTCAAGGATACCACACAAATTCCGAGCACAAGCTAGTGGTCACAAGACCAGTTCACATGCAAGTTTATAACAGAGCATGAGATACAGTGATCACAACCTAGCAACAGTAAACATGCAGGTAGATATATATATAGTGATCACAGTACAAGCAAGGTCAAGAGGTAAGTAAGTGAGGTCCAGTAGGCACAAGGCCTAGCAGAGTGCAGAAGCGCTGATGGTCACAAGGCGGAAGCGCCTTGGTGAACACATCAGCAAGGTTGGCCTCAGTGGCCACGTAACGCAGACAAAGCTGACCGCGCTGCTGCAGCTCTCGAGCAAGGAAGTACCGCAGGGCGATGTGCTTCGTTCTGTGCTCCAGTCTGTGCTCCTCACACAAGGCAATGGCAGCCTGGTTGTCGACGTACAGCACTGGAGGAGAACGAGGCTGCTCACCCAAGTCGGTCAGCAGGTAAGTCAGCCAGCGTAGCTCCTGGGCAGCCATGGCTGTGGCGTAGATCTCAGCCTCACAACTGGAGCTGAGAACAGAAGAAGAGCGTGTAGAACGCCAAGAAACTGAGCCGGAGCCAAGGCTGAAGGTGTAACCCTGAGACGACCGCTGAGTAGCCTGGTCGTCCGCCCAAGAAGCATCTGAGTGTCCAGTAAGTACAACTCGGTCTCGCCCTCCAAGCACTAGCCCCATGCCCGACGTACTGCACAAGTAGCGCAACACCCTCTTAGCGGCATCCATGTGCTCCTTCCTGTGACGGCCAGGAGCGACATAGCGTGCAAGGATGCTAAGAGGGTATGCAAGGTCAGGTCGAGTGCAGGTCATCAGGTACATGAGGCAGCCCACAAGCTCTGGATACGGGCCACTCGGCTCTACGGACTCATCCGAAGGCAGAGCTGAGAGCGAGTGACCGGTAGGCAGAGGAGTGGACTGAGGCGAGGAGTACGTGAAGCGGAAGCGCTGAAGGATCTGCTGCACCATGTGTGACTGAGTCAAGGTGATGGTGCGCCGTGCTCTGTCCCGGGTGATCCGCAAGCCAAGATAGCTTGTCAGTTCACCCAGGTCTGTGCACGTGTGTCTCCTCTGCAGCTCCGACTTCACGTGGGCGAGTGCCGCGGTGTCAGCAGTGGCAAAGACCAAGTCGTCGACGTACACGAGGATGTAGAACGGCGGCAGTGAGGTGTCTGTGCGTAGAAACAGTGACGGGTCAGCAGTAGAGGGAGCGAACCCAAGAGCCGCAAGTGTCGTCCTCAGTGTGTCGTGCCACTCACGCGGTGCCTGGCGGAGACCGTAGACCGGCCGCTGAAGCCTCCACTGGGTACCAGGAGGAACCGACCCAGTGAAGCCAGGAGGGCGGCGCAGCCAGATCTCCTCGTGCAGGCTGCCCTGCAAGAAAGCAGTGCTGAAGTCAAGTGAGTGAAGCTCGTAGTCGCGCTGAGCGGCTATGTGCAGCAGCACCCGAAGAGTGGTCATCTTCGGGGTGGGGGAGAAGGTCTGAAAGAAGTCAACTCCCTCTCGCTGACTGAAGCCTCGAGCCACGTAGCGCGCCTTGAAGACAGGAGGAGAACCCGGTGGCCGCTTCACCCTGAAAATCCACATGCCACTGACGATGTTCGCCCCAGGTGGGGGAACCTCGTCGACGTAGGTGCGTGTGGACTTCCAGGAAGCCATCTCTGCGTCCATGGCTGTCTGCCACTGAGAGGAGTAGGGACCCGCCATCGCCTCAGCGTAAGTGCGCGGGGTCGGGATGTCTGGTGCATCCGGGTCTCCCTCAGGGGCAACTAGCATGGACACGAGGTGGGGCAAAGCAGCAGCAAAGCACTGGAACTCCTCCTGTCTGTCCTCAAGGACGTCCGTGCCAAGAGCACACTCACCCCCGACGGACGGAGGACAGACAGACTCAGACTCAGACTCAGCAACAAGGCTAGCGGCGTAGTCTAGACGACAGCGGGCAGCAAAGTCTATCAACTCAGCGACCAGAGCAGATGCAGCAGAGGACTCAAAGGTAGGGTCAGTGACAACAGTAGCGAGGAGACGGGTGACAGTGGGACTGGCAGCACGACGG